GCCCTGGCAGGATTTTGAAATTAATGTCAGAGCGGTTGGATGCTAGTTTTCTCACTCAGGTTTACTGTTTTTCGTTTAAAAAAAAACAAATTGTTAATAACGTAGTTTATAAGTTATGTATCTACTAAGAATATATGAACTGTATAATTATCTGAAAATAGAGAAAACAGCCCCGAACCTCGTATAATGCGCTAGTATAACGGTTCAATCACATTAAACCAACTTCAAAGATCATAAAGGTTTTATTTCATTGAAACTCTATGACGTGATAGCCATACGTTCGGCGACGAATTCTAGGTTGTTTTTTTAAAGAAATAGCATAGCTATTAGCTATTTTCTTTGTCTTTGTTCAGCGGGTAATCGAATTGTGGAGACTGAATTTTGATCTCATATCATTTTATTTTCCGTTCTCATAGTATATTGCATTTACGTCATATCACTTTAAAAATGAAGGTGTTTAGAATGCAAATATCAATTTATGTGAGAGGTCGCGATGAAACGAAGAGGTCCTTCTGATGGAGTTTCATAATTTTTCTTTTTCGTGTAAACTACGTTATCGCGACTTTTGATCATACTAATCGAATTTTATCTCTTTGAGACTCGAGTAAATTGATTGTTTAAACAATTATAACAGTTTGAAATAGTTTGTATGTATTGATGACAGCTTTGCCAGCCTCTTTAGATAAGTGTTTATGTTTCTTAATTAGATTTTTGTCACTTTCATTTTTTTTTCTTTTTACTATTGTGTTTAGTGTATCAAAGTGTTTGAAAAATTTAAGGTACTATTGTCTAATAAGGCCCAATGCTTTTGACTTTTGGATTGCTAAAAGGCCACATAAAATACGTCTCAATTACATTCCCGAACGGGCTGATCAGTAAAGACAGAATCAACACAGTATAAAACAAAATTGCTTTTCGCTGTCTGTACTCTGAGATCTTTTCAAGTTCACAACGTTTGTATGCGGTTTTCAACAATAGAGAGTAATTCAAAAGTAAGATATATATATATATATATACATATAATACAGGACCAGCTGGCTAGCTAGCTATCTGCTAGTAATCTATACATATATAAAAGGAGATGTCCTGACTCACAGACAACGCACAGCCTAAACCGCTGGTCGTAGGTACTTGAAATTTGGAGGGGGTACATTTGTCTTATTGCGTAGAGATTTTTTGAAATTCCACCCTGAAGGGGCTCAAAAAGGGTGAAAACGTTTCTTTTTTGGACCTATATCGATGAAAATTAATATTTTAATAGTTTAAGACCCTGGGAAGGCAATAGATTAAATTTTATCCAGAAAACAAGCACTAAAGGAAGGAAAATGCGTATTGAAGTTTTTATGGGAATCAAAATGATTCCATAGCATCCATCGCTTGTATGTATGAAGCTTCCCGTAGGTGAAAGAATTTTTAAAATCGGTCTAGTAGTTTCGGAGCCTATGTGTTGCAAGCAACCAGACAATCAAAAGTTTGCTCTTTACAATATTAGTATGTGTTGATTAGATTAGAATATGCACTGTGCATGACCATGAGATAAAAAAAAAACTTATTTATTGCGTGTTTCTTCTTTAGAAACTGTTCAAGGGGCAACGCGTTCGGCGGGGAGCAAAAACAAAATATTGTCTCTTTAAAATAGATACCTTTAATTCATACGACGTATTACTGCAACTCCCTGTCGCCAAAATTCATTACTAGTACATTGTTGTTTGTATTTTTGAATATCGTCAAACTCTATTCACAATTTAGCAATTTTTATTAAATTATTATTTTATAATTAAAGAAAGTGTTACTATCCGATAATATATTATTATTTGGATGTAAAAAGAGAGAAAATTAATTTACAAAAGGCGAAATGTTTACATGTCTTTGTTTACTACAATGTTGTTGTCTATGCCTAGCTTTGCGTAATATTACAACAACATTAACGACTATTTTGAAAGAGATGCCCTCTTCATATTTATTAATTTTCCTTATAAAAATAATCTAATTGTAAGAAGAAACCATAAAAATATATATACATTCTCTCAGTGGCGTAACTATACCGTTTGAGGCCCGTGGCAAATTCATCGGACATTATTTATTTTTTTACTCAATTGTGTATTTTTTTTTTTACCATAAATGTAATGAGTAAGGATGTTCCTCTGACCGGGGGCCCCTTCCAGCTGTAGGCCCGTGGCATTTTGCCGACTTGCCATCCTGTAGTTACGACACTACATTCTCTGTATAACATTTGATAGTTTCATATCGTAAATCTAACTCCATAAGCTACATACAAACCGTTACAAACTGTCCAATGATAATTTCACACCTCAAAAGAGTTACATAGCCCTTTCCAACCTATATTCCTATATTACATTGATATACGTATACAGGTAGTATATAGAATGCCCAGTGAGGGGTGTGTCAGACATGCATGGTCACTTAAGTAGAATGCATCGACTACGTTAACCCTTTGTAGTTCAGCGTTAAAACGTAATATGATGTAAATATAACTCCCCTTAATGTTTGTTTACGAGTTATTAAGGTGTATTATTAACTAAAACCAATAATGATTGATTTTGTATATATAAATGGCTAGCTCGGTGGCAACTTTCATGGGATGGGTGACCAAAAAAATAGTATCTCGAGCTACTCCGTGCTTCGGAAGGCACGTTAAGCCGTTGATCCCGGCTGCATTTGCAGTCGTTAATACCCTCCAATCCGCATTGGACCAGCGTGGAGGGTCATGGCCCATCCTTAACTATCCATAAAGAAGGCCTGAGCCCCTGCAGTGGGGACGTAAAAGGGCTAATGATGGTGATTATGAAGAATTTGGTCAATATCTTCTTGTGATTATACGTTTATTACTTTCTAGCTATTTTATATTATATTTATTATAGCCTATGATAACCCCATATAATGAAACTACCCGTAGGTGAAAGTATTTTTAAAATCGGTCATGTAATTTCAGAGCCCATTCAATGCAAACAAACAAACGAACAAATCTTTCCTCTTTTAAATATCAGTATTGAAGTAAAGATAGGGGAAATTATTGTAGGTTGCATACATACTAGCTGTTTTAAAGTATAATCTGCCATGTTGGCGGCTGTTTGTATTACTTATTATATATGATGAATTTTGAATTCACAATGCTATACTGAAAAATATTATTAGTAAAAAAATTGTCCCTGGCACTCTAAGATGGAACTCGAATCCATGACCTTTCACATTCCAGGCTACTGCTCTAGCTACTGAGCTACACAGGATCTAACATGAGTGCCAGGGACAGAGTGGATTTTCTACCATTTTTTTGTTAAGAATATGTTTGTATTACTGTTAAATAAAATATAAATATTATACAGCATCACATACATTACTCAGATTCCAAGATGAACAAGAATCTCCGTATTAAGAAGTATCAGAGACACAACGAAGATACCACAACACCCAGACCCGAGACGATATAGGTTTCAATATCTTGGTTCCTGTAATCAACGTGATCTTCGCTTTAGTAGCAACCTCATTCTCCAAACTCCATTATACACATCACACTGTATTTGATTCCAAATATTTTACCCTACCTGCTATTCGCTTTTGGAATGCTTTACCACTTCAAATTAGCACTACTATGGTATTTAAGAGATTGGTCCGTGAACAGTATCTTAGTATGTAAAATTTCATTCCCATTCTGTATCTGTTCAGCCCCGTTACTAATCGCGACCGACAAACATTGCAATATAAGGATGATGACTATTTTTTGTTTGTTTGTCCGTCAGGTAGACTTTTAAAATATATTAAACACGTATTTTTTTATTTTTTTCGTAATGTCCGTAATTCATACGTTTTCTACTCAACTGTGAACGTAGCGAGGCCCCACTCCTCAACTTTAATGCCTGTTATCTAAGCTATTTCTTGTTAAATTAAAGTAAAAAAAAAATACGTATCTAATATTTTTCTATTATCTGACTGACGGACTAAATAGAACTGCATTTTTTTACCCAGTCGTCATTCCTATTGTGCCGCTCCGCACTCTTGATTAGTTTACTGACATACTCTGGCGCTAGTGTATCCAATCAAGAGTACAGAACGGCACAATTGCAATGTCGATCGGTCGCGATTGCGTTCGAGGGCCGGTTGACTGGTAGAGATTGCTCAGGCATTAAGTCCGCCCTTTGTGATATTTTTTTTTTGCAATTAAGAATAAATAAATATAGAAAATACCATTTTATCTATATCGACCCGGCCGGGAACCGAACCTGGGATCTCGGAGATGGTGACACCTTGAACTCTAGCGTGAGAATCGCTATGCTACGGAGGTTATCGGTTATAGAATAACCGATTAAAACTTTTGTGTGGAAATATTATAAATATAGTATTATCTATATATATAAAATTCTTGCGTTACTGAGTGACTGAATGACAGTCAACGTACAGCTGAAACTACTGAGCTTAGAAAGTAGAAATTTGGAATAAAGATTTCTTAGGAAGTGTAGAGGAGCACTAAGATAGGATTTTTGAAAATTCTACCCCGAAGGGGCTTTCATTATTTTCAATTAGGGAAGAAAGTTTGTATGAAACTTTGTTACTACAAGTGTTAGGAGTTTAAAATTTTTCATGCGGGTTCTTTTTAGGACATAGGTGTTCACTAAGACGGAATTTTACGAAATTAAACACCTAAGGGGGTAAATTAGGAGATGAAAGTTTGTAGGAAACTTCGTTACTACAAGTGTTAGGAGTTTGAATTTCATAAAATCCCGTTTATCAATTAAGAGATGAAAATTTTTATGGAATTTACTCATTTCTGTCGATGGCAAAAGCTAGTATTAAGATAAAATACTCGTAGATAGATAGTTACACCTTTTATGCCATACGAGCTTTCCGCCAGCGGCTTCGTCCGCATGGTCCTGTTTTATACATATCATGCAACCTCTTGGGTCACTCTCTATATTGATAAAAATCGCATAAAAATCCGTTGTGCAGTTTAAAAAATCACAGCGAACAGACAGCGGGAAGCGACTTTGTTTTACATTATGTATATAATATGATTACGTACCATATTATATTGCGTTGGTATCGAATATTGTACACTGATTTACATTAAGTTTTATAATAAATATTTCATGAAATTATTCAAGCATTTTCCATCAAGAAAATTAATGAAATGTAATGAATTAACAACCGCTCGTAAACAAATTAAACGGCTGTTTACCAATTTCATGTTTTATTATTTAAATATTAAAGCTACATAGTTTTATATAAAAAAAGTATTCCGAACTTGTTCTTTCTGCGAATACCTACCCTGAGGCAATCTTTTACCCCGCCGCCGCAGTCGGGAACGCGTCGTAGAAAACCAATGAAGTATTCCAATTTGTTCTAATTGTTTCGCTAACTTTTCTGATGATTTATTAGTTAATTTACGCGATGGTGTTTTTTTTTTGTGCGCAGTTTTGTTTACAGTGAAAATTTCTTTTTCACCAGTACCTTATATTTTTTAAATACCTTTGAACCTAATTTTGTACTAACGAATGTCCGACGTGTTTATATTTTATTGTAAATTTAACTGAAAAATTGTTGAAACCAATTTTATTTTGTGTAATTAAATAAGCGGTAACGTATATATTGTACCTAAAAAGTGCATAATTCTTTTTGAAAAATATCATAAAATTAAATGTTCATTGTAGAAAAAGATGGCATAATTTTTAAAATATTTCCCATAACCATAATATAAAACACACTCACCGTAAAGCCGATGCCGACAGTCGCTGAGAAGTTGCCAGCTTGAAATTTTCCTGTTTCAAATTGTACTAGGAGAGATGTCTTACCAACGCCACTGTCGCCTAAAAGGATCGTCTGAAAACAAAAAAAAATGTTTAATAGAAATACACTTACTAATTCAACGGTACCTTTAAGCCGGACTGCTCTGGGCGATTAAGCTGAAGACCCAAGACCTTTGCTCTATTGTGAAACTCGAGCATTTCCATTCATGTTATGACAATTTACTTAGACAGCCAAAGGAAATATTCAGAAAAAAATTATATTTACTTTAAATGAAAAAGTGTAGGAAAAATATTCTTATGGCAATTTAAAAGTCGAGTGCTTTCTGCGTCCCATTTGCAAGGTCAAGTTCGGGACATTAACGTCTTCTCGAGAACAAAATCGTCGATTATTTTTTCGATGACATGTTACATCTAGGTCTTATTTTACTGTTAACTGGCTTCTGAAAATCATGCTCTAAAAGTATGAAACAAGATAATATTCTCTGCACATCGACAGTCCAATTTTCCTCTCCTTGATAATGTGTGGTTGTAACTCGTACTTTGACCGTGAAAGAAAAAAGAACATTTTTATTCGCCTTCCGAAGCTCGGAGGGGCTCTTGATATTAATTGGTTACCCATATTATAAACGGCACTTGTGTGAATCAGTTATTTCTAACCAGCAATTAATTTCTAACATTGCTTTTTAATTATACCAAATAACCCGCCCATGTCTGAACATGATCTTGGCTGCTGGACTAACTCTATAAAATAGGCATCGACCTCGATAACCCAACTACCCAACTATTTAGAGCGTGATTCTTCATAGTTGCGTTTAGTTTTTACCTTGTGTATAGGAACTTCGTCGTCATTGTAAGTTTTCGCCGGGGTTTCTACTGGAGGTTGGTAGTCCCTGTAACCGGTCGGCGAGGGGGTACCTCGCTGCGCCGGCGCACGAAGCGTGTCGTCTTCGAATACATCATCGCTCATGCTATCGTCTGTAGCCATCGCCTGTGTTAAATAAGTTTATTTTAGAATATTGCAATTTTTCTATAGTTTTGGTTTCTCTGAAAAAAAGTTTTTAAACTACGGTAAAAAAGGTTCAAATATTTTATTCTATTTAACGAAAACAAACACGTTGATTCACACTTCATTAAAATTGCAATATTATTATACATGTCTCATCATCTTTACGAAGATCGTTTGATTTAGTTTCTTTTATTTTAATTGCTAGTTACTCGATTACTTAATTACTCGATTGTACAGAGAGCGTGATCATCGATACTTTTAATTTTATTAGAATGGTGACACTGACTTTGACAGTTTGTTAACAAAACACAAGTTGCCGCCATTTTGGCACACATTCTGTTTCCGATCACCGAGAAGTAAAGACATCCGACGACATCACGCTCATCTCGTTATATTTTCGTATGAAAAGTGATAAAATGGAACAAATCCACGTTGGTATACACGCCTGCAGTGTTATTTTAAAGATAGTCCTCCGATATGGACCATCTATTTGGGCTTCGTAAAAGCCCCTTCTGACTACCCGTCGACATATACATTTCTAACTTCGTAATTGGAAAAAAATCACAGAGAAATATATCTAAAATTAAAATTCTACTACTGGCCATTACCCGCGCTATCGCCTGTTGGTCGAAACAAAATGACTAAGGTTCAGACCACGCTGTGGACTAGATGCAAGTATGAAATTTTGCAATTCGTAACAGATAGCCTTCTATAGCCAGCAGACTGGAAATGCGAGCGGCTCTATATGCGTTTTCAGCTATAACTACTAAGGGCAGATGACCCGGTTTTGAGTGTTTTAACATTATGACCTAGTTTTGGTAATTTTAGTAGTTACCAGCAAAAACCATGGTAAATTTATAATTTGTCGACATTTTACACAGTAAAATATTTGTGAAATGGCCAATAAGGGGTGCAGTAGCCAAAACCGGGTCTTCTGACATGTATCGCGTGCGTTAAATCGTTATGCGCTTTCTGCCTTAAAGTTGCCAAAGATTCTTTGCACCGGCAGCTTCCGAGTGTTTTTTCACAGCGAAGGTAAGGTTAAATTATCACTTTTTAAGCTTTCAACTTTGCATGCATATATATATTTATATTAGCATGTATATCATGTATCTAGTACGGACATGAATATTATATGTAATGTAATGAAAATTTTGAAAATAAAAATTATTAAGATTGTTCATTTGAAAAGGGTTGGACTTTTTGAAATAAGTTTGCAATAAAAGGCGGAATTAAAAAAATCCCTTAATAACGGAAACTTCTAAAAACAGTAAGAATGGTTTGAAGAGATCAGAGTAGATCATATTCATGTCGCGCTTTTAAATAAAAATGAACTCTTTGCGTTAAATGGCACTGATTATTAGTAAGTATCTAAAAGCACCGTATATACGAGTATCATTCCTAATATGTCAAGAAAAGCACAAGAATATGCGTTGCAGTGACATTCTGTTAAAAATAAAAAAGCCTCGAATTCGTCGTCGAGATCAATTCTAATAAACGTTAATTTACAAAGTTACAGAGATTTTATTTCATTGAAGTCATGCTGATACAACACTGCAGTTACAACCAGCCCTTTTACGTCTCCACTGCGGAGGCTTAGGCCTTCCTTATGGTTAGTTAAGGAGGATGGGCACTTCACGCTGGTCTAATACATATTAGAGGGTATTAACGACTGCAGATGCAGCCGGGAGCAGCGGCTTGGAGCTATCTTAAAAGTACAGGGTTGTATAATAATGTTATGATTACAATAGATATTAAATAAATATACATTAAAAAAACAAACCTTTATATACATATTACATAAATATAAATAAAAATAAGATTTATAATAGAGTTTAGTTTAAAGAATGGTACATCTACTTTACTGTTACTTCTACAACTGATCACATCAAAATAAGTTAGTTACAATTTGTTTATGTAAATATTGAAATACTTTATAAAACTAGTATAATAATTTTGGTGTTACAGAAATAGGTTACCATTCTGCGAAACGTTACTCTATGACAAAATTTCTCCATTACGCTGCGATTGAGTTTGTTGTTCAATAAGATTATGCCGTCGGTGTTGGCGTGCTTCTGACTTTCTGACAGATCAAAGGTCCCTTTAGTGCTGAGCTCAGGTAAAATCTATCCACTTAATATCGAAGTTACACAACTTTTATTTGAACGTTCAAACTTTGACGTATGGAGGTCCATAATAATAAGTCTGCAATTGATGTGTAAGAATATCGAAATGTTACCTACAATAAGTATACCTAAATAAGATATACTTAATAGATATAAATAACATAGTGTTTATTGTATACTTAAATTTTTCAGCCAGTTGCACTGACGATGTTTAAGTTTTAATAAAGACTTTAAGCTCTAACAAGTGTTCTAAATTTGAAAATTTGTTTTAGTAATGTCGCATTAATCTAATGAAAGTTAATGGACATTTGTGCATCTGGATGGTTTGTGTGCTGGCTGAATATTTCTGGATTGAGTTTTTTCAAAAAATAATTAAGACGAAATATTGAGCTGCAAGTAGATGGCTTTGTTTAAAGTAATGCGAAAGTAACTTATACAATGGCGTAGTTGTTTATCTAAGTTATTTTTTTTTTGTTTATGAAAATGGCTCGATATTGTCTTCCAAAATGTTTAGAATTAAATTCCACAAGTCCTTAAAGATCTGAAATTAATAAAATACGAGAATAAACATATGAGTGGAAAGTTTTATTTCGCTCTCATTTTGAATACATACATATGAATTATTTTTGGGTATTATATAACAAAATCTTTGAAAGTATTATATTTTATCAATTTTACATTCAGAATGCTATACCGAAAAACATTCTTAATGAAAAACGGCCGAATTCTAAAAGGTCATGGGTCCGAGTCCTATCACAGAGTGCTAGGGACAGAGTGGATTTTTTAAGCACTTTTCATTAAGAGTATCTATCTCTCTGAAAGTAATCTACGAAGAATTTAAAATATGAAAAGAACAAGTATAGTCTATCCAATAAGTTTCATCTTCGAATAAAAGATAGTGAAACGAATAAATAGAATAGGTTTTCAATCGTAATTTGGCATTCCAAATGGTGTTGTAATTAATTCCGTGTCTGTATTGTAACTAAATCAAGGTACATTATATATGTTATCTTGGTTTCTATTGATTAAATGATGTTATTATCAATTGAAGAATTATAAACAATTTAAAAAGAAACTTTCTAAGACATTTTTATCGAACCTCTATGAATAATAAACATCTAGTTAAGATGGTCGTAGACTGTCTCCGTACCCAGGCTCCGGCCGCGCAACACACAAAGGATTGTTCGGATTTTCCGATGTCATGCGTTCTCTGCATCCGCAGTTTTCATAGACGCTTCTATGATAAATCCGTTGTTGTCAGTTTTGACATAACGCTGTGCAGTAATGTATAGCATGTATTATAGCGTTATGGAAGTAATACGTATGACGTCTTGAGTGCTTACATTTCTCATATATTGCGTGTCGGTGGTGCATCCGAAGCGCATAGTAGACGAAGTGTTATACAAATTCATACAAGTATATGAAAAATCTGTTACATGACGTGCAGACCGTGTGTGCGAGCGAACAATATGGTCGTTCATCACAAGACAGCGATATCTTTTTACTTAAATAAAATTATACCTATAGACTTTTCATCGTTTTATTAGGTTTACAATGTAAATTACGTCGCCTTGTCTGCCAGTCATTTTACCCTTGGTATCCATACATTTTGTAGTTAGATAACAACTTTGTTATATCATATTACGATCAAACCGCTCTCGGCCTAATTGTTACCAACAAAATTTGATCTGCTATCAGTCAATATTGAAATAGTCCAATGTAAACAGAATATAACGGCCCTATTCTATGGTAAATAATACCGAATGATATTCAAACTTTTCCCAATAAAATTCGATCGGTACAGATGGTAAATACATAGTTTATTATAAATATGTTTTGCCTAAAATGGGTTCTAAAGTTGGTATATTTTTACCGTTTTCAAGTTCTAATTATTAAGACTCCGCTGTTCTAGATAGTTTAAGTTTTCACATACGTATAATGAATTTCTGTTGCTGCTAAAACAAAAAACAGAACAAATAAATATTTAAGAGGTTCCCATACACCAAACATGATTTTTTGTACACACGCACTTGGTCGGATTTTTTTCTATGTACACATACTTTTTAGCTTATGCTGACGGCTAATAGAGATGTATTAAAGGCGAATACATATTGAACCGATCCCAGATAAATAATTGAGTAAATATACACATAGGACTCCTTAGCCCAGCTATATTCTGTTAGAAAACTTCAATTCAATGAAATAATTAAGAATTTTAATTCTTTATAGGTTTAGTTTTATACCTCTTACTACCACTCTCTTCGACGTCGAGTTTGAGGCAGGTTTTAGGGCGAATAGCAGATATCACGCGAAGTCATTCGGAGCCATTAATTTTTATGTCATTCGTAAATAGCCTTTGATCAGTGTTTTTCGCCATTCGCTGAACCGCTACCGGGTCGCAACATTCTTTCGTAATTGTACGGGAAAAATATAAAATATAAGCAGCACCTCCATACTTCACACTAAAATTTAGTTACTAAATAGGTGATGAAATGAAATCCCTTTTACTATGGATAAATCTTCACGAAGGGCCAGTGTAAAAATTACCAGAACGTTTTATGACTTTCGCAAACTGACGCATTTGACATTTTTTCCCTGCTTAGTTACAGTAAAATTATCGAAGTGGAGAAAAAACTAAATATTTAAAAAAGTTTCATTTTTTTATATAATTCAATCTTATATGTACACGATACTAGGTAATTGATCATTCTGTTTAAATTTGCCTTATTTTCGTCGTCTGTTAATAAAAAATGGACCTATTAATCAGTTTTATTTCTCCGTACCGCCTTTGTGAATACGAATCCCTAAAAAGGCCATCTATAAAGGATCACTTTTTTAATATCATTATGTCCTTTTTCGATATATCTGGTCCTTTGTCAATTTAATTAAAATTATTCAATAGTTTTAAATATTGAAGCAGCCATTTTAAAATAAAACACAGACACCCCGTTTTCACTAAACTAGAACAAGGCGTAGCTTATCTAGGATACGCCTAAACTTACGAATCGTAGCAGATTAGTTTAATTCGAAACAAATA